TTACAGGAAACGATATGAATGTCGCAGGAGGCGGAAAACCCTTCTGTTTTCTTTGTTTCAAAGAACGTGATGTGCCATTTGTTAATATAAAAAGAGAAATATTGAAAATATATTGAAAAGAGCAATTTTAAATTATTTTTGGCTTATGTTGCAATATTTATTTTCTTGTATTAGAAATTCCTTTGTAGAGAAAAAAAAATGTATTTTTCATTAATGCAAAAACCTATTTCTCCTTTTTGTACATTTTCCATGTTAGTTAATCCTTAAAGCAATATGATGTTACCGGACTCGTTCTGTGTGAGACTGTATTATGCATGCTCCTTGTGTTGCCTTGGACTAGCTCTGTCTGCCATTATTTTCATCATGTTTAGATACCGTGTATGCTTTGATACACATTGGGACCATGGCCCATTGCTTACGGAGAAAACAAACGGGAAAAAAAAAAAAAGAGAGACAAAAATCCTTTGCATTCCTCAATGTGTTGGCAAATGCAGTCAATAAAGCAGTGTTTTATGTGTGTGCTTGTCCTGGCATTGTGTGTGGGGCCGCGCTGGGAAAGCCACCGGGCTTATATACTATTTAGCTGCAGGTAAAACAGTGCATGATGAAGAGCTGCCTTGGGCTGGGAAAATGCAGCCAGGGCTCCACGGGCTGGAGCAAGGCACACAGGAATGCACATTTTGTCACCCAGCTTGAAAGGTTGCGTTTGSTTTTAGGTGCTAAATGGCGGGGAGGTAACGTGCATCATTTTGCATCTTTCATGGTGCTTTTTGCTCTGATCTTCTTTAAAGAGAGATCCCGAGCTGCCCCCAGCACAGCTCACAGCAAGGTCCCTGGTGCCCATTGGTGTCACCGTTACTACACCCTCACCTACAGTCTGTGGATGATCCGCATGGGAGCCAGGTGCACCAAGCTCCATCCCACACCYGGAGGAAGCTCCTTTATTTTTTAATGATCATTGCAAATGGCTCTGGAGGAAACAGGGGGAGCGTTAAGACAAGCAATCATCCCAAAYAGCAGCCCTGGGTGGCTGGAGGAGGAGCTGATTACACCTTAATGGCAGTGTAATTTCTGCGGTTGTGCAGCGTGTTCCAGGGGCCTGGCTGAGAGCACAGGAGTTGTTGGCTTGGTGTGGACCCTGCGGCACCAGATTCCAGGGGTTTAGTGGGAAGACAGCCCCGGTTTGGAAGGGCAATGCCCCAAAGCACATGCTGGCCACAGGGGCCCCGGAAAGGCAGCCCAAAGCCAGGCTTGCCCCTTGGGAAGGCTGAACTAAATATCCATGGCTTAAAGGCCAGGTTCCCTCATGTGCCTCTTCCGGGTCCCAAGGTTGACCTGACCAGGATGAGGGACCAGGGATGCTGCCTCCTGTTCCTGGGATGTGCCTGGTGGGAAGGATGTGGCTCTTCCTCCCGAGACAGGGTGCTCTCCTCTCCGCTCTCCCTCTTGCTGCCACCCTGAGCTCCAAATCACCCTGAATGCCTCTGAACTGGCAATGAGCAGTAAAATCCCTTCAGATTTGGTTGGAAAATGGAGATTTTTCCACTCAAAGAGGAGGATATTGTCATCTAAATGGAGCTGCAAGCCCCCGGGCAACCACATCCAGGCAACGTGGGCCCTTCCTCCTGCTCCCTGCCCCGTCAAGATGGAGAAGACAACGCGGAGCAGGGGACACCGTCCCACAGCCCTGCTGCAGGGCCAGGGGAGCACCCTGCAGCTGTCGGTGACCTGCACTGGGATTTCCCGGCCCCTGACCAGGCATCCCAAGCTGTGTCAGCTGGATAGCACATGCTTTCCTTAGCCTGGGAGCTTACCTGTGTTCCCAAGTGCCATTAAGCCCACAGGCAGCTTCTCCTCTTCATAGCAGGAAAAAAAAAAACATGTGCAAAAGCATATTGAGATCTTTGTTTTCCAGATGAAAAAGATCCATAAAGAAATGCTTTCAAAAAGGGGCTGAACTTCTCCTGGCAGCAAGTGCAGGCACTCAGGTGCGTAGCATCAGGCACTGATGGAGGTTTTATAGCAACAGACCATGGGTTTTACAGACCCTTTTTGAAAGGGTTTTACATTTAGTGCTGTGCTTAAGCTGTAAAGTTCCCACAATAACCTGCAGTTCCTCTTGGCTTTCGTAATTCCAGGGAATTTCTSAAAACCTGATTGGATTGGAGGATTCGGCTCCGGGATGTGCAGGACCAGAAGTCGCTGTTAGGGCCTGGGCGTCACATCAGAGCTTCACCATGGAGCAAGCTTGGGAAGATCACGATGGAGAGGTCAGCCTCACCAATAGGATGTGATTAAAAAGAACACATTTTGAATCAATCACTGACCTAGAACCCCCTGAATTCAGGAGTGTGCTGCTTGCTGGTGATTCGGGATTCCCATTTATCAGTGTTCACATAAATATCATGTCCCCAGAGCGAGGGAAATGACCTTCTTGGCTTGTGCAAGCAAATTGTACAAAGCACACACATTTAAACATGGTATTAAGAAAAGCTAAATATATTGGCACATACTTCTCCTTGCAGAACTAGAAATTAAAGCCGAGGAAAACTGTGGTTTCATTCACTCTTCAGTCAGACCATGACATAATTCCCTGTGGTGCAGCTGAAAATATCATCCGCTCTTGTCCCTCCTGAGTGCTGGGAATTCACCCTCTCCCGGTCCCATCCAGGAATCCTTGCGCTCGGGTGGTGTCCGTGGCTCTTCCTCTCGTTGACTACGTGACTTCCAGATTCCTTCCCTCGGCTCTATCGAACACGTTGTATTTGTCACCCTCTTCTGGGACAGCTGGCAGATGGAGCACAACTGCATGTGACCCAGAGCTTCTCCTTGCTCTGTGGCAGCCTCTCCTCCCGCCTGAGTCACAGGGCGGAGATATCCATCATCTACACATGCACTTCGGTGACTGCAATTTTATTATTACCTAATTATTTCACCTTGCACCTTACACGAGCCCTTTGCACCATTTGCAAGATGTCATTTCACTTTGTCCTCTGTGAAAAATGCCGTCGCTTTTATGGGTTCAGGGTGAGATATTACGATTATTCTAGCAGTATCCCATCCATTAAAGGGCAGGACAAGAAGGGTATCTTATTCAATTAAAGCAATGATTAATTTTTGCAGGTGAAGTGTAATAACTTACACAGGAATTGAAGCAAGAAGTTAGAGCTGTCATCACCTCTCTTGTGAAAAATGCCATGGGAGGTTTAATAGCTGCAAGGGTGATATATAAAATTCTGCCAGGGGAGTGACTGCTCCTTGCAGAGCCCAGCCAGGTCTCCTCCATCCCGAAGTGGCAAAACCACTGTTTAATGCCAGGGTGCCCTTTCCCCGTGAGATCCAGCTCTTCTTAGCCCTTGGTCATTCCTAAAATAGGTGGGAAAACAGCAAAACATGAATCACAAACCTGTAGGTTTCTTACAACAGCCTCTTTCTAGAAAGGAAACCAGGGCAGGTTTTGGCAAAGAGTTGGGAACCCAACCAGCAGCAGCACTCAAGGGAAGTCTTAAATCACATTATTTCAATCAGGTAAATTAGCTACAAAAACACCAGCTCTTTTTAAGGCTACACTGGGCCAAACCAGCTGTTGCTCTTCCCTTTTTACCAACCTAGTTTGGCTTTTTGCTGTCTATCTTCATAAAGCATTTCCACAAAGAGCTGCAAAGAATGTTTTAGACCTGGGAAATTATTTCTCTCACAGCGGTTTCATGCACCGAAATCCTGGAAATCTCTGCGCAACTATCTTACTCTATGAGCTCCTAGAAAAGAGGGAAAAAAAAAAAAGCATGCTATAATGATAAAGATTTTAAAGCCTGCTGCCACCTATAGATGGAAAGCAACAAGAACAGCACAGAGAGCTGCAGGGGTGAGGGACACGCTACTGAGAAGCAAAACTTCCTACTTTGAAATTAAATTTTGAAAATTAAATATATATAGTGTTAATGCTATTGAGAAATGCCTGCACCYCTGGTGAAAACCCTGGATTTCTTCTACTTCAGGAGGTTATTTGGAAGTTATCTGACTCTTATGTAAACACAAATAAATATGAGAAGGGAAATAAACCATTTAGTTCTTAGCTTGTTGAACATTTTGAATTAATCTGATTAGTCTTTTTATTGACATGGCACATCTTTACCCAATTGTTCTGATTTCATATAGTTATAATAGTCCATATTGGCATTCAGATTGCTAAACTGGCATTTTCTGCAATAAAACTCCATGGAATACCCCAAACAGGCATTTTTAGGGCCATGTAAACTATAAAGCGGGCACATCCCACCCTCTCTGGAGGGAAGGGGTTCGTTATCACCCACCAGATATGTTATTTTCTACAGCATCACACCCAGTAGAGCCCTCGGCTCGAGGAAGAAGCAGCTGGGGCTGCGTGGGCAGCCCCGTGCAATGGAGTAGGAATTCCTGCAACCTGCAACCTGCAGGGCTCTGCTTGACGGGATCAACCTTTCCCATTAAATCTGGCAAAGAGAGGGCAGGAAGCACGATGAAGGCAAAGGGCTGCACCCTGATATGGGATGAGGCACTCTCATTTCCACCATACACCCATGTATAACTGCATAAACTCCCCGGAAGCAGCAAGCCAACTTAAAGCAGATCCTATGGGCTGACCAGCTGCTTTGAGGCATCTCCTCTAATCACTTCATTCTTCCTCAGGAAAACAATCTTAACACGCTCAACACAGGGTTAAAGACCTGCGACTATTTTTTTTCTTTCCCTTCTTGTGATTTCGCAGGCTTCAGTTTATGGAAAAACCTGTTTTTCTTTTATCCTGAGTCATTTCACATGAAGAACCTATTGTTCCAGGTGACTCACCCGTTTGCATCACCCGCTTCCAAGCCCCTCGGGTGGCCCGCAGGCCTCCCAGCAGGAGAGGAGCCAGCCCTTATTTACCAATAACCAGGCAATTTATCACTGCATTGACTCACCGCTAGCGAAGCCTCCTTTTCTTTTGCTTTATGCTTCCCAAGGTGAACCTGAAATGATCATTCTGTTTTCTTTTGTAATCTGCTTTTACCAACAGCACGCACACGAAGCGCATCTTACTGACAGCCTGTCTGCTCTTCAAATACAAATGCAAAATCCTGTAAGGAGAGGCAAATATCTAAATGGTAGAGCTGAAATACCTGGAACTATCAAGCTTCCAGAAGCAAGGCTTCCATTAGGTAGAAARCAAATTGCTTCTTACTGAGATATCACTAATACCATAGAATTTATGGAGGAAATGGGGCTATCATCCAAATTATCTACTTCATTTAATCACTTAGATAGATCTTAACTGCATCTCAGGTCTTTAGCTCCAGCATAAAATACTTGGGGATGTTGAGGTTGAATTTCCTTTTGGAGGTAGATTTCCCTCAGCAGGGTAGAGAAGGCCCTTGGTGCCTGGGGTGACTGATGCTCAGCGCCTTCCCCAACACACGATGCAGCTTTTTCTGCTCGTGATTAAGTTATAACTCGAGCTCCCACCGTCACGGAACCAGCTCAAGTCAGAAGGGAGGTTCGGGGAGAGCCCCTTGCAAGTCCAGGCACCGCAAACCCGCCCGGCTCGGCTGGGCCCAGATCCACCTCTGGGGCAGGAAGATTGCACAAGGCAGCCCACTGAACGCAGAGAAGAAGGCAAGAACATCCCTTGAGAAGCAGGGACTCCACGACTCCTGCTCCCAACCCAAGGAAGTCCATGGACTTAAAAATGTCCCAAATTCCTGGTTTTCCTAGGCAGCAGGTAGCTTGTTGCTGCGAGATTTTACACAGTCGAGTTTTTTATGTTTTTCTACTCGTTTGCCCTGTCCTATCCTTGCTTCTGAAACTAATAGGAAGAAATCTCTAGGCAAAATTTCCTCAGCAGTTGCTGCCTCTTCTCTGCTGGCAGGCAGGGTGCAATATGGGGCACGACTTGTTTTTGTGGAGGAACGAGCTGCATTTTGAGCGCAAGGTTTTCTTTGGCTCTCCAGCAGCAGCTGACCTGCCAACCCCTCCTGATGACCTCCCCATGAGGCAGAGCTTTTCACCAGAGCGCTCTCCGGTGCTGCAGAGGACTTGGGGGAAGCCGCTCCTCCAACTTCCCTTTGTTTTTCACCCTTAACACAACAAAATTAATATAGGAGACAGACTGCAAACAGCTCAGGTTGCTGCACAGCCCCAGCTTGGAATAAATCCATGAAACCCAGCAAGTCAGCCACCCACACAGGGCCCCATCCCGCTCCCCTCTGCCCCGCTCCCTCCAGCAYGCCCTGCCCAGCCTGATCCCAACCAACAACACACCTGCAGACCCCAGGTTTCCATACGGCCAACACCGAGACCATAGTCTAATTCCTAGAGTTAGGCAAATACGGGCTAAAAGGAGCAGATACAGGATTGCAACGGGTGCTCTAYAGATTATAAGAAAGAGTTGTAGGCAGGTGCTGCTTCAGGAAGGTTGGGGATGCTCAACATGTAGATGACCCTGGCCAGGATATCGCCCCTGCAAAAGAGGAAAACAAGGCAGAAGCAAGTCTAGCATGTCCCATCGATCTTTTCTTTTTCTTCTTCCCTGCTTTTGCCCTCCCTCCTTGGCTGCTTTTCCCGGGCTCTCCTCCCACCCGGAGCCGGGAGCTGCCGGGGGGCCGGGCTGTCCCGGCAAGCGGGGCTGGCGAGCAGGGCTGGCGCAGGGCACCCGCCTGCCGCCAGCGAGGAGCCCAGAGCTGCTCCGAGCAGCGCGCCCGCGCTCCTTACACCCGCCCGGCTTTGCTTTTATTTTTCCCAGATTCAATACCACGGCTTATCTGAAATACGCACCGTGTGAAAGCAAACCTGTTTCAGTGCTTTTTTTATAGCGCTTGTCTTTGTGAAGGGCTCTTATGTTCACATGGTGCCTAAGATGTTATTACAGAAACTCACAGTGTCTCCCGTTTTATCTGGTGATATATCTGGAGATTTCATTGCTTTTTTGCTGGGCCGTCTTTCCTTTCACTAAGGGTTTTCCACGTCGGGATGTTCCGCAATAGTCCAAATTACTTTGGACTCTCGGAGCGAGTGCAGGGACAGGCGAGCAGGTCAAGCAAGGACTGCGCTAGGGCCCTCGCCACGGAGTTTATTTCATAATTCCGTGTTTACAGGGACAGAAATAGCATCCAGRCCGGAGTCACATGCAGCAGATCTGTTACAGAGGCCTTGCTGCAGTCAAACAAACGTCGCAGCCCAAACTTCAGCAGTTGTAATGACCCAACTTGGTTTTTCGTTGTTTTTCCCAAAATAACAATGGCAAAGAATATATTAAAAAAAAATATATTATATATACATAAACACACACACACTCCTCCCACTGACTCCCTCCTGCAGTCTATCTGAGGGCAGATAGGAAAACACAAGCTGAGCTTCTCCAGTRAAGGTCCTAATTATTTTTTTCCCAAGATTTTAAATATTCAGCCCAAAAACTCTCAAAAACTCTCAAAAAATGAACAAAAACTCTCCAAGCAGCCTGSGAAAACAATTGAAAACTTTGAAAACTTTTTTTTTCTTCTTTCCCCTTAGGATTTGATTCAAGTTACAGGTTAGGAAACAAGGATATTATAGAACAGGTAACAGCAGATGACCAGGTGGGAAAAGCAGTAAAAAACTAAATTGATTCTACCTCAAAATACAATTGCTCGCAGACATTTCTCAAGTACGACTCTCAGGCCTGCACCTCTTCCGTGGGGGATGTTCAGAGAGCCAAGTGCCCCAAAGGGAGCAACGAGGAGCAGGGCACATTTTCGGAGCAGGGTTTGAGTAAACGCCCATTTCTGCAGAAACTCCCCTCCTGCTTTACAGCAACTCCAAGGGTGTCAGATGTCAGCAGTGAAACAGCTCCTACACYACCTCCTGTAATAATTTATTCAATAAAAAATATATATACACACMCACATGCATGTATTCCACTACAGCMAATTCCTTTTCTTTGATTTCTTTTTAACCTTTAAAATCTACTATGACCCTCATGCTTTCACTAAAGGTCCCCTTAATACGATGCAATTTGAAGTTAGTGCACATCTTTATTATCTTTATATTTGGAAAATTCTATTTAAAACGGGATAAGGGATAAGAGTGGGACCCAAACAGTGCATTTCAGAAGTGGTCTGGGCAGCACCTTGCATGTGATGAAACGTACGTTCTCTGTGCAGCACACAGTGCCCGGCCCAAACGAGCTGCTGCTGCACGTCGCTGTGGCCAGGAAAGAGCAATTCCAGGGTGTTTTATTCCAGCAGCGACCAGCCAGGACATGATCCCTCTGGACCTCCCTTCACAGGCTAAATAAGGACAGTAACGGTTGCTCTGCCTCAAAAGGATGTTGAGGCCTCATTGGCACGTAGAAAGTTTTGAGATCCTGGAATAAAAGACATTTACTGCTATAAAATACTCTAAGCTACTTAATGTGGTTGGACACTTGCCGTAAGAAATAGGGTCTTTAGAAAACCAAGGGATACTTTCTTATGATTCATTATACTCTATCTGGCTACGAGATAAAAAAAAAATAATTTGGAAAATGCAAACTGAGAAAATTAGGGCTGGAGAGCAGTTCTTGACTCGAGGAGGCCACTCTCCTGCGGGCTGTGTTGATCCCAGCAGGCTCATCCATGTCCAAGGGCCTCAGCTTGACAAGCACTGAAGYTCAGGGGCACTTCCCATTCGTCCCATCAGCACTGCACAGGCCAGCTGCATCCCAGGACAAACACAATTCCCTTGTAAGACTGAATCTTTCCATCCCATTTTAAATTGCAGCAAAGGAAATGTATTTTTCATCCTCAAGAGTTTTCCMAGCTGAGGATTTGCTTCCACACACACCTGAAGAGCAACCTCAGGCAACAAGAGGCTGATTTATGACTGCGCCCAGGCGAGGAAACCCAAAGCCACTAGCAGAGGGTGCACTAAGGCAGCACACTTCTTTCCTGCTCTGAATAATGCAATTATTTGGCAAGAACTACCCACTTAAAACTCCTTTTCTTCAAACTCCAACTCAGAATTTTATTTTGCTATTCCTGACATTTAAATTTCAAGCATGTGATGGAATAACATAAGAATAAACATCACATTAAGAACATGTTAAAGAACGTTTTCAGTTTTAGCTTTTCTTCTGCAGTTTATTATATTAATTATGCTTTTAAACATTTAGAGCACTCACATTTCAAAACAGAAAATGTGTACTTCCACACTGAGAGACTAGTGCAAAAAGTGGTTCATCTAAGTATAGATAAGTTACATGTCCCCACTGAGAGCCAGTGGATTCTGCTGCTTTTAGATACAGCTGAAGTCCATAAYTAATAACTACATTATTTACAATAAATCTGAGCACGCTGCAGTCGATAGAAATACTGGACTGTGGTTGGTAGCAACTAAATATTCCCGCAGTACAAGAGAGCAGAGCGGTTTAATTTAAGCAGATCTGTGAATCCACTGTGGTTGAAAACAGTGGCCACCTTTTTCTGAGCTGACTCTGTAGATGCAAAATGTTCTATTTAAGGTTCAGTTCCAATTATTCAAAGACAATAAAGCTCACACACATGCAGGTATGATATTTCAGTGAATGCCACAGGTCATCTTTGGCACATCACAGACAGCACCTGAACACCAAATACAGAATTAATATACTTCATGAAATAATCTTGAYCTGGCAAAAAGATAAATGAGAAATCTCAAAGATCCTCCCCATCTCTAACTTCAGGAATTGTTGCTAAAAAAGCATTAAACCAAGGCAGAAAATAAGACAATCCCTCTCAATTACACAGTACATTCTAAATCCAACGTTCAATTAAATTCAAACCAAATAAAACTTAGTCAGCTCACAGATGCTACGGTATGTACTCACTGCAATGAAAGACAGCGCATATTGTCAGGAGTAGTTACCATAAAAATCTGCATTCATTTAGCTTAAAGAACTTAAGTAATGTAAAAACAAATTTGAGACACTTTGTAAAYTAACATCTTTATTAATGACAGTTTTTTCATCTCACATTCTTTTGTGATGTGTAATTGAAATCTGCATAGTCAAGAGTGCAAAAAAAAAAAATTCATTAGGAATTGGATCCAGATGTGAAAATTGCCTCCTTTGTAAATACGACTGATCACAATCATAGGAATAAGCAACCTCCAGAATAGGATGGTAGGAGGTGGCAGGAGGATGAAAACCACCAGAAAAAGCTCTCATTTCATCAGGATATCTTTCCATCAGTAAAGTCTTCACACAAAGACACACAACACCCATCACATTCATATGCACAACAGAATGCAACCTAGGGAAGGAGATGTTTCTTCTACTGAACCAAGTGAAACAGAGTGAGATTATTCGTTTCCAACTGGGGGGTTATCAGCTATTCCTGCAACGCAGCCACCACAACACCCAGCTGGATCAACAAGTGGTCCAGACTTCTTCATGCCCTTATTACAACCACCACATTTAAACTAGAATCTTACAGTACGAAACATGAAAACTGAGCACTTCCTTACCACTAAGGATTACTCTTAATGTACACTTTTAAAGCATTATCACCTCCGTGTTGTCTCGCTATCTTCTCTTTGCACTAACGCTATTCCAGCTGGCTGGAATACCGGCAGGGGAGGTCCCAGCTCCGCCTCAGCACCCACGCCGTGGCTCAGCCAGCAGCAGTGACCCGCATGGAGCGGCCCAGCAGGACAGCTCTGCTTCCAGCTTCATTCCCATGAGCAGGGCAAGGCTCTCTGCACCATGGCATGACTCTAAGAGGTGTTTTTAATGTTTACACCTTCAGTTGATTTAGAGGCTCACTGCATTTTAATTATTACCAGAAAAACCTAGAAAAAATAAAGGCATGTCTTCAAATATACCTGCTGTACGAAGCAAGAACTTGCACAATGTCCAGACACTGACAACAATGTCCAGACACTGACAACTGCCCACTTCTTACCTGCACTTCTGACTTATGGAGCACAAATGCCACTTGCCAGCTGATCTCTCGTTTAAATGAAGAATTACCTCATGTTGGTCCTTTGAGAAAGCTATCCCATAACCATCACTTGGGAACTTTCCCATGCACAAACTAGGTTCAACAATTTCATGTGTTTGAGCAGTAACACATTTCAGTTATAAATAGAATTTGTGTGCTATTCATCTTACACTTATCTACAATTTAAGACTGGGGGGGCTGCCCATCAATATTCAATCATGCAAGTCCAGATGTAGGGAAGGAATACATGTCATCTATTCCCTGTGAGCCTCTGAGCTTTAAATCTGCAAGCCAAACTCGGTAAATCAAGAGAGAAAATTCTTGATGAAGGCAAGACATTTGCTGCCATGGGTACTGAAAATACAAGGGCGAAAGCACTGTGGAAAAGACYTGTAATAGTGAATGAAAGAGGTCCTGGTCTTGGGATTCAGCAAACCATTTTCATCAGTTCTTAGTCTTACACAAGCAAAACAAACTCTGCAGTGAAACTCAAACTCACCTCAGTGAAATGGTGATTCCGGGGGTGAAACCCTACCTTCAGGAGATACATTACAGAGTAAAACATCCTACAGCACACAAAAACACAAACCACAACTCCATGGCAATGTCACCTAATACCGACAAGAAGCTGATATGCACATGTGAGTCAAGGCTCATTTGAAAATAATCTGCTTTCCTCTCAGGCAACTACTGCACTCAAAGATGGGGAAAGAACAGTCATAAGAGTCTGGAAATAAGTGCTGGAGATAACAAAATTCTAGCCCAGGAATAGGCCGCTTGGGCCTCCAGCTACTGCCAAGTTATTATTATAGAAGCCTATGATTAGACTTCAGGGCAAAATTGTAGATAATAATCCATCTTGTCCCAGCTCAGAATATCAAAAATGAAACCACCCAATTGAGTATGGGCCGACAAATTTTTATAAGCAACAGTGATAAAATGTTTATGGGCAATTTCACAGTCAATTCTTCAAGCAGAACTAAATCTAATTAAATTAAGCACAGACTACTTAGTGCAGTACTATTTTTAATTTCTTCAGTAAAATCTGTATTTCTCGGGTTATTTCGGGGGTTTAATTCRAGATATCAGTTGAGCAAAATCTCTTTTGTCATTAGTTGAAGATTTACATTGGCACAGCTGATTTACATTATATGTATTTTTAAAGGTGGTGGTTATAAGGGCATATGTCTCTATCTTCTATTGATGTAAAATCCTCTAACACAAATACAATTTAGTAGTCTAGCAACAAAAAACGATCCCCCTTACTCTTTAACATACAATGGAAATACCTTGTAGCCTTCTATGCTTCTGGAGAATATCCTACATATTCAGATCATCAGACAGCCTTACYAATTAAGACACATTAAAATGAAACATTTTCCATTAAAGATGGCAAAAACTGGATTTAAATTTATTGCATGACGTTGCATAAGAAAGTATATTATTGAAAACTGTAAGGCATCATGCAATTATCCATCAGCTAATTATTTATTATTCCTTGAAAGATGGTTATATACTCTAAAGTTATAAAACCAGTTTCAAAAAAGTACATAAAAAAATTTAACATGATAAGCATTAAATATTTTTCACATGTCTGTAGTTTTTTAGCTGTTAAAAAGTGCATTCAAACATACTTTACTGGAAGGTTTCTGTCAAAAATGGTGCTGGAGACTTGTTAAATTAAAAGTTGCAACAGAATGCTGTATGGGATTAGAAAGCTAACATGTTGTGGTACTTAAACTTACAACCTTGCTCGAAATAATTTTTCAGTTCTCACACAATTTAGCATGGGTGATATAATTATCTAAAAACATATTTTTTTTATAACTAAACAGTCAAATAAATTCAAGTTACATACACTGAGTGATCAAATAAGGAGCAGACTTAATATTCAAACATGGGACAGAATGAACTAATGTGATTTTGGCATTAATCAATGTACTGTGCCATCCAACGAAATCCTTCTCCATAGCCTTGTCTCTTCAGCACGCTACACATAAACACTTCTAGTGGCCTTGCATTCAGTTCTTTCAATGGTACACTGCCCTGAAAAGAGAGAAGCATCACCAAATTACACARAGTATTTTTACACAGAGATGGCTACTTTACACAAATATTTGTTTCTGTAGAATGTTATTTATCTTGTGATAAAATACTTGAATTTTGGAAAATAAACTAACCCAAAAGGTTGGCAGCCGTAGGATTATTCCATATATGTCTGATATGCGCTAAGTACTTTATGTATTTTTAAAAAATGTATATATTTTGTGCAGCTGGAGTGAACGGGGACCAATGCACAAAAGAAGGCAAACCTAAGTTCCCAACTTATATCGCAAAGGAGCGTTACCTTTCCTGTTGTCTGGCCATACAGACCAAAGGTCTCTCGTAACCTCTCTTCACTGATGGCTTCAGGTCTGTCAATCTTATTACCAAGAATTAGGATAGGCACATTAGCAATAGTTTCATCTGTCATTAGTGACTACAAAGAAAAACAGGAGAGACTAGTTTAGAATACAGTTTGTTTCAGGGAGTTACAGTTAGATAAAATGTTAACAGCAGAAAGGCATTAAATATTGGTGAATCTCGACCCTTCTAAATGTCAACAGAGACAAAAACCTCATGTTTAGACTAATTTTGCTCATTTGACCCAACTGATGGGAATCATTTAACGTACTTGGGGAAAAGAAATAAAATGATCAATTCCTAATATACAATATATCACAAATGTATATATATATATATATATCTCAATATGCATATTGATACAACTGGCAGAACCAAGTGTTTACATACCAGGCCCCTTACACTGCATATCAAGGAGAGGGCACCAGAACCTAAATGCAACTAGATGAGAACAGAGATGCAGGCAGTCAAACTGCTGCTCTGCATAGCTAGGTGGCAAGAGAGCTGTGTGGGATATTGAGTTTAATTCCTAAAAAATAAAGTTTCAGCTTTCAACACTTATTTAAGCTTACATCAAGTTCTTCTTTAGATTCAAGCAATCGTTCATGATCCGCACAGTCCACCAAAAACACAATGCCATTAATAGCAGGCAGATAGTTCTTCCACACCCTGCGAGCTGTAGGGAAGATGTGAATTAAAAACAAAGGAAATTATCTCAAAACTCAGGAGTTACACATATCAATAACAAGGAGGCAAGGCAATAGTGTATTTTCTTTAATTCTTAGCTTATGTTGGTCAGTCTCTAGGATGAAATTTCATGTTCACAAGAGCTTGAAAAAAATGGAGTAAAAATATTGTTTCTTCTGCTGCTATCACCACTCTGATTCATCTATCTCACATGCACACTTACATACTGAAACCTTTGGTATTACCCCAAGAATCATGTCAGCAAAGGTAAATTTAAACCATACAGGGTAAAGGTAAAAGTTTAAGTTTAAACCACAGAGGTTAAAGGTTAAGTTTTGCTGAAGCAAAAACAAACTATCCCTCCTCAAAATASAGATATTGATCAAATATTTTAGCTCTACTACAGCTCTTCTCAAACTGTATCATGGGATGAAACATATGGTGGAGACAGACGAGTAAGAAATGCTTTCTACGCTGTCAAAGGAAACCTGGAAAATGAATTTTTGCAGCATTTTTTTTCCTCTCTGATTTGAGACAAACTGCCTATAGACAATTCATTAATTTAAATCAGTGCAATTACATGAGTCAACATATTCTCTTACCTTGAGCATGCCCACCCAGATCAAATGTAGTGAAAGTCATACCAGCAATTGTCAGCTCTTCTGAAGCTAGAAACACATAGAATTATGTTGCTGGAGATTACATAAAATGCTGGAATAGTGTAACTTTCTGGGACAGAGTCTTCATCTTTGTGGTTTTCAGTATTTTGTTWTTCAAAAATCAAACCAGACAAATGTGGTTTCTCTCAAAACGCTACTAAACATTAAAAAACATGAAAAATATATACAATGCTAAGGAAAAAAAAAATCACAAAGGATGTTCTTACATTATTTACCTCTAAACATGGCACACAAAATAGTTGGCTTTGGCATCTGGTTTACCATGGCGATAACATTTCATGTAAAATACTGTTCAAGGTTTCTCCTCTTCATGTCCTTCCCAGCTTATCACGTCCTTACTGGACTTCACCAACCCCCATTTAACCTTGCCTGAACTTTTTCTCTGGCCAGGTTACCATAATAACAATTACACAGCAACTTTCAGTCAACAAGACGACGCAAATGCTAATTTTTCAGCTAGATAGAGAAGCTGCTGTTGAACTGTAGCTTCTGTAATCTAGACTCACAACTCCAGTTCACTGTTTGTTACCTGCCTCTAAACCTTAAATGCATCCARTTGAACTATCCACATATTTTTGTTTTTCATACTACTTGAACTTTCTATGGATTGTGATCTGACCAAAGGGATTCTGACTCCAAAAAGTCCCCTCTTTCTTGTATATTGTTGGTCTCACAGTATATAGTAAGATACTGCTTTTTCCTGTAATATTTAAGTAATTTCTACTGCTGTGGAACTAGGAGTAATAACTTACTGGGGTGTAATGTGGGGACATGTTGTCCCAGTCTGTCGTCTTTGAGCATGTGCAGCAGTGTAGTTTTTCCAGCATTGTCCAGTCCAAGAAACACTAGTTTGCCTGATTTCTTGTACAGTCCTGTAAAAGAGAAGCACCTAGTGAATAATCAGTTAAATCACTGCCAAAACAACACGTCCCAACAGGAACGCAGATCCCATACATATGAAATGCATACATCTAGAGTGACAGCATTCATATACTCCAGCATGTCTAATCAGAAACCCTTCTCTAGGTGAGATCTGCTAATGTGCAAAATCAAAACACCCTCCTGCGTGTCCTACATTACTATCTCTTTAAAGAAAATCTGGACTACATTCCTAACAGACATCTTTCTGTTTTGGTCTCAAAAGAACTACAAAAGACTGCCAAATATTGTAAAGTGGGGATATTTAAGGTAGCAGGATTTTACTAGGAAATGTCCTTGTATCCTCATATTCTGCAATACCCTGAAGAAAAACTTATCTTCCAACTACTGTGACGATACAGAAGAACTTCAGACTCCCAAGACACGACCCCAGTTGTTTGGCCATGGCCAAAACCTGCCTGCAGCTCCGGCCAGGCCACAGCAAAGGCAGCATGTGGAGCAGTTCCAAGGTGCCACTATAAAAACTTGCCAGGTTGCAGTAATGAGGCTAGTGATCAACAGCATGACCTGGGGACATCAGTTTTCCTTCCAGCCAGAGGCTCAGGTTGCTCYGAGCTCCTCTGTTCTGCTGCTCTGTGGTCAGGCTCACACTGKTAATCACATAAGGAGATCTATGGGCACCATCCAATTTTTGTATTGTTCCTAACACTGACTCATGGATTCACATACTGAGATTTTGTTTTTCTTCTAAGAACGGGAAACAGAAATGCTCATCACTTAGTCAAAGGGGAAGGCTTCAGACGAGAGCAGATCCTGCCCAGCTTACACCCAGTGAAGGCTAAACTCGCAATAGCTTCTCAAGCGCATTATTCTTCTATTTATTTTGTGAGATTTTAAATAATGGTGTTTTACAGACAGTAACTCAGATGCCTCCTAGGATGTTGCGGCATTCCTGGCTCATATGTGCCTGTCTGGCTGACCTTTACACTGCTACTATTTGCTCACCTTTCCTCCTACCTTTCAACTAATCTCTGCCATCGCATTCCAGTGGGGCATGTTTTATAACCTACAGGAAATGATATTCTTTCATATTCCTCAGGTACTTTCATAGGTAATCTTTACTGCTATGGGTATCTTATCACAGAATATGCTTTCATAGTTCTTTTTCAARTGTAATACCCCTTACTCCCCCAAATCACCTCCTCACGTGCCCAAATTACATCAACTATTAATCTACAGAGATGAAGAAAAAGTATCAAGTTTAAGGAGAAAGAAATGGACAAATATTTTCATATATATAAGTAAAATGAAAGGGTAACAAACAATAATAAGATAATAATGGCTTTCCTACATTCAGTCTGGGCATTTGGAAACATTTGCTCCCAAATCTCAGSTGCCATTGATTTCTCTGACACTCATTACAAATACTTTTGCGAGAGTTCCTCAGCTACACAAAAATCAGAGTATATACAAAAAAAAAGTCCTTAAGAAATACATCTTTTCACAGATATGCTTTCAGAATGCACAAAGTGATCTAGCTGGCCTCATAAGAAGATAGCACAGGGCATTGCAGGGAGCCTCTCAAATGCTATGATCTGTTCAGCCTCCTTCAACTGAAAAATATATAAGGGAATAAAAAGAGAAAATRCTTTCTTTTTCTAGAATAACAAGGACATATTGAATATAATTCTCCTTTCTATTTCAAGCTTCAGTATCTCTCACTAGAAATAGACTTCGTATGTGTAAAGTATAGGAAAGTGGCCTAACATGCAGCAATCACTGCTTGACCAAGTACGGGGAGATAAGGAAGATTAGTGAACTTGGTTAAAATTTCACTGGCTARTGTTTCAATAGAAGGCCAAGGTTCTAACACCGAGTGAAAAAGTTTAAACTTTCAACTGATAAAAGGCAGAGCTTGCCATGATTCATTAATTTCAACTGCTCTGTAGTTACTTAAAATTTCTGAGACTTGTAAACTGGGCCTTTTACCTATATAACCTGTAACTTCTGTTCCTATTTTTAGTATTCTAATATTCTCCTCTCTCCTATTTTTTTCTTTGTGTTGCACAATGTAATATTTCATCCTGAAAGAACATCAATTACAAGCTCTTCTGTGRCCAGAAAATGCTTTCCTCACTCTGCAGCTGATGTCAGTAATTAACAGTCACACTGATTTTAACAGTCACYGAATAAAGTACTCCTGAACATGAGCAAGGGCTTCAAAATCTGGTATTAAAATTTGTCAGTGGTGCCTCTTGCTTGAGCTCTCAAGTGATACTCCAAAGTGCAAAAGAACAAAAAGGTTAATGAAAATAATTTAGTTCAGTTCTTTAAAATGGTGAAAAAATTAGGAGAAACTGCATAAAAGTCAACTGATTACGTTAGCTTTAAGCTACAATACTGGGAGAATCAAAGCTATTTTCAAAAAAAGAAAACACAGTTTTTTTAGTGGTTAAAGGATTAACATAGGAATGAGTATGCCCTAGAAATACTCAGGTTCGATAAMTGTAGCTTTTCTTTGAGTATGGCTGAATATACACCAGAACAAATATTATTATATAATTGGCCATAGGTTTGAAGATAGCAGAGGTGCACAGATATTTTATTCAACAACAATAAAACTTACCTAAGAACTGTAATACACTACTGAAACCACTGTAAATCCAATCAAATATGAAGGACATATCTGAATCTTGTAGTCTGAAATAAACAGAAAATAAAATGCATTTAAGCTCAGTTAGAACAGTGTATTAACCATTGCAAGATACCTACAGAAAACAAAGGAATTTGAGGTACTGAATAAAAAATCCAAACGAAATTTAACTTTGGTATCGAAAGCAGATTAAGCGATCAGACACCTATTAATTGATGCAGAACAAGGAAACCCAGACCATCTAATTCACAGCAAAGACCTTCCCTCTGCCCCAGCAGCAAAAATTATTTTATCTTCAGTATGGCTTTGTGGAAGTGTGGGATGCTCCACTGAAGGCTTCAATATGGGATCTTGACATACTTTCCAATCAAGGAAAAACGGTGTTTCTGAGGTGGTGGTGCAGGGATGGCTGCACAGAGGCTGCTGCCACCTCTTCTCCAGAGCTACAAGGTTTGAAGCAGAGCTGATAAAGCTCTGCTTATCTTAAAAAGTTGAATCCAGAAAAGTACTTTAAAAAAAAAATCTCTATTGAGTGCATATAACCTGTTGGGCTTGTAATGGAAAACGTCTACTTAGCACAAAGCACTGGAATTGCTATTTAAAAGTTGTGACCCTGTTGCACTGCTTGATACAGTTCAAAGCTTAAATGTGAAACACTTCTTAAAGCTCCCAGAGCACCATGTTTCTAACTGAGACCTCTCAGACTAGGCACAAGGAAATGCTCTCACATTCCAACTGCTCTGAGAAGATCCACATTCATGCAGCACAGAGATGAACAACCTTCATTTCTGGAGAGATGTGAGATGCAAACACGCTGCTTGCCACTGCACTCATGAGCAATTAATACCTTAACTTCCATCTTAATTTTTTCATTATCTAAAGTAAGGATAGTCACACCAAAAGCACCGGCTGATCACGGTGAACTAGTACCTAGCATGAACATGTTTTGACAGACAAAATGGCAAGACCCTTCAAAGTATCAGTTGGGCAATCCCTGCTGGAACACTCAATCCCACTAAAGGCAGCGGGGGAGCCCAAATATCTTGGAAACACCGCACTCGAGTGCTAAGAACGGCTTCCAAACGCCTCCTGACACAGCATTTGTGTCCCCCCGCCTTGCATTAGCCCTTGTGTCGATGCTGCAGCCATGTCTCGTGCTTCACGAGCAGATTTAGAGCAGCTTTTACCCTGGAGCATTGCACAAGGCGGTTAGTTGAACCCCAGGTCAGTACCCAACACTACTGTCATGATCCTTCCTTGTCCTGGTACAAAATCTGGTCAGGCCACATTTGCCTCTCCTGATTCAAGATGACCAAGGCTTAGAAATCTTTTTTTTTTTGTGTGACTGGCCCTGCAATTCTTACCTCTGTCCTATGTTACTCCGAACAACTAGAAAAACATAACAGAGGGAAAAAAATAAGAATTAAAAACATGTTTGTCATTGTATGAACACCTAATCACAATGTCATGACTGAAACTGTCGCTTGCATGTCTGGAAAGCAAAGGTCAAGAATAAGCAAACACGGCAGAACATACACGTCAGCAGATTTATTTATTGCTTGGACAAAATACCCACCAAGAAAAGCCTCTACAAGGCTTAGAAAAATGATCTACTCAACCTACAAACCAGTGCAAACAGTGTGATGTAAGAGCACTGCTCATATTACTGAGGTGAGAATAACTTCCCCCAGCTAGTTACATTAACYTGCCGTGATCCCTTTCCAAATATGAAACTCATGGATGAAAGAAGAATGCGTTACTAAAAAATGTAGAGGCAAGATTCAACCTAYTAATATGAGAACAAGATTACTCTGCAAATACAGATCAAGTGACAGCAATAAGGGTTAAATTTCCACCATCATAGTAAGAGTGGTTTTAAAATCAGAGGTATCCAAATACACTAACAGCTGTAGTATCAGCTGGCAGTATTTAAAGGAAAACACTCCTATTAAAATGGGAAAAAAATTGTCAGCTAATTGCAAAGGCACACCAATAATATTTGCATAGGGATATTAAAGCTACTCTTATCACATTGGGGAAAAGAAAGTCTACACAATTCATACCAGAATCAAATGAAAGAAMTAAGAACCGTTAGAAGCTCTGTAGCAGTATCAAAAATTACTGTGCTGCTAATATATCAAAGTTGGGTGACAAAACTAAGGAAAGCAGCAAAGTTTATGCAGTATAACCAGATTCAAACTTTCAAATCTATATAAAAAAATGACAAAATCAAGCAATGAAAACTCAAGCAATGAAAACTCTAGCAGGCCACCATGAAGACAAAAATAACAATGATTTTGGGATTATTTCAAGGGTTGCCTCAAAAAATAACCAATAGCAAGCATACAGGAATTTTTAAAAACAAAGTTTAATAGCCACATGACTGTTTCTGGACGCCAGCTATTTCGACAGATATCCCCAACTTATTTACTCACAGCTCCCTAACAAAAACATGAAAGCAATTTTCTAGTGTCCTGTCAACAACAGATGGTTATCACTTCAAAACGCCTCTGACAGGCCCGGCCTCCACGATGTGGCAACCCTTCCAAGCTGCCGAGCAGCCTCGGCACCCGCTCCACACACCAATAAACTCAGTTTGCTCCCGMTCGCAGCGGAGCAGAATTCCCACCCGGCAGCTTCCGTGACATCCCGAGATGATGCCCTAAAGAGAATGTTGTTGGCAGAAAGGCCTGGCAAACAACTTTGCTCACAGTTAGTTCTGTTATATTTTGAAAAACAAGGAGTTTCTTTTCTTCTGTGGCACTGCAAAAATGCATGACCTCATTTCAGGATCAGTTAGTTTAATGCTTATTTCTAAAAACCTGTGAAACTTTAGACAACAGGCTTTAAGAAATGCCTCTAATATACCAAGGCAATAATATTGAAACAGAAGCTAGTTGCAATTAAGCAAAGCACATCTTGCAATAAGTGGAAATGCCCCGTGCCTGGGCGGGTGCTGTTAACAACAGCTGGAAAACAAACTCCACGCAACGCAGCCACGGCTAACCGTGTGTGCGCTCATCACAGCTTCACATTTGAAAACACACCCTCCAAAAAACAACCTACAAGCAAGCTTTCAAATTCTACTTTTATGACTGTATTTGTCTTTTCAATGTTCATTTCACGAAAGACCATTTTAACACTGTGAAACGTCACCAGTGACAACGCAAAACTAAAATCCACAGCAAATTCTGTGCGTGAAGTGGTACCCRCCTTCTCAAGTTCATAGGATAGGAAACCGCATTTTGATACTATATTTTCAAAGCCAAAGGGAGGGAGAAAGCTTGAAAACGTGCTCGCAGCGTATGTTTTCTTTTGGTATTGTGATCAGCGTGACAGGAAATCATTTATGAGATTTCAGAAACATTAATCACCATTTGGTTCTGTTACAAACCAGCCTAATAGCAGAGGAGGATTAATTACCGCCCGAGCTACTGTGGGTATTTAGTTCTATCATATTTATTATCCCAAGACACTCTGTTTTAGTCTAACACAGATCTCAAGCGCATTTGGAGCCGCAGAGCACACAGTTTATCCACGAAGACGGCGCCACAACCTGCACGTTAGTGGCTACCCACGCGCTTTGGTGGCAGCCTGGCTTACCAAGCACTACTCCTAGGTCGTATTCTCAAAGTAGGGCCTGTTCCAACAACCCCATTACATAAAAAATATACACTACCTCGGAGCATGAATATTACATTCTTAATTAAAAAAAAATCCAAAAAGTTACATATTTAAAAAAAAAAGATTGTGAGAGGACACTAAACTGAGCCACAGCACAAAGTCATGAAGCACATATATGTTATTTACAAGGAATACTTATAAGGAATACTCACAAACACGCTCAAGAGAATCCCAAACGCGAAAGCAAAACACGAGCCAGGATTAAGACAAGGAATTACCGAGCGACGGTAAAAGACGGAGCAACCGGAGCCCGGCCTATGGGTGTCGTCGTCAAGAAACAGGGACCTGAAAGCCCGGGGAGCCCAGGGGGCTCTCACAGAAGGCGCAAAAATGAAAATAAATAAAGAAAAGAGGCGCTCGCAGGGGAGGGGGCAGCCGCTGCCCCTGACCGGCGGCCACCAAACGGGGAGGAGGAGGAGGAGGCGGCAGCGGAGCCTTCACACCGCCCCCCCCGCCCGTCCCCCCGCAACCAGCGGGGCCCGCGGGCGGCTCTGCGGCCCCGCTCGCAGGCCCCGGGCCGCCGCCGCCCGC